CAGCGAAAAAGCTTAGATCGATGGGCACAGTGGTTGGTGAGCTTAGTCCATATTTTGTCGAACAACAACCAGCTCATTAGATGAATTGATGATACACCTAAAATGCAGGAACGGCTTATCAAAACGGTACCGGATCAATGTAAAACACGTTACTCGATTGACTCTTAATTCTCATTACCGTATGGGTCTGAAAGGTTTAAACGTTCAGCGTACGATCCGTTGGATAAGCTGATGGACTACGGAACAAGCACTGCACTTCTGAGAAACTATGGATCTGAAGATATGAAACCTTTTTTTAAATCAAAAATGATTCCATAGTTCTAGTCATTATCATCAACAGCAACTAACAAAACGGTGCCGTCAGCACCATAATTAAAAGTTCAAATCTGGGAATTATCATAATTTGCGCCACAAAGCAATTTAGTTATACAATGTTGATGTCAGCAACGACGTATTTTTCCTATTTCAAAATACAAAAATAGTTGATGAAGATCTACATGAAACCGTGGATAAAAGAAAACATAGAAGTCGAACCGTTTCATAACTATTATTGTGCTATTGGAGCGAGATATATTGATGAATGGCCCAGTAGAAAACCGCCCAAGTATCGGTCCACGGAAAGCAGCTGAGAGGCACTTCACAGAGTGAGAGAAAGTGATAAACCAAGAGGGTTCAAATGACACAGGTCTTTATGCTTAGAAAAACATTCCATTTCAGTCTGGTTAGTATTAATCTTACTATTTATATATTCACCAATGATGTATTGATCTGGACAATCCTCATCAGGAATTTGCGAAAGGAAGCAACCGTTTTCTGCTGATACGTTGCATCTACCTATTTCGACTTCATGGTAAATCCATTTTACAGTTTTCAGCTCAGTTCATCAATACTCCTCAGTTTCTCATAAATTAGAAAACTGTGACTGTTAAACTGTTAAGATATAAGAATTGTGAGTTATTTAATAGCACATTACAACGCTCTGTTTACCAAAATGCAATGTGAAGTAATCAACATCTACATTTTTGCAGATATTTCCCTTAGCTTGTAAACGTGGGGTTGTAAGAACAATATTTCATTGGCGAAACCTTTTTTCTCCAGATGCATTAAAATAAAGAATTTCTAAGGAGATCCCTTTCATACTCAGAACGTTTCGTACACATCGATAGTAGATCAGTCGGAAAGATAGTCCTATTCCGGGTCTAAAGGAGCCTGTCTACATTCATTTAGCTTCTAAGGTGATCGCATTTCAATTAATGTGCCATGAAATGTGAATTCATCTCTGCAGATCGTACATTCGAAACTCCCAAACTCAGACTCAGTCACGTCTCACGTCACGGAGTCAAACGTAAGCGTGACGCCGTGGTGCATGCGTAGACAGAACAAACTGCTAGCTGTCACAGTGGATGGTAGAATAAGTTCCAAAGTAATCGGAAAAATTCATGACGCAACTGGCAAACTGTGATCAGGTGGCCACAAGAAACATGCCATGATCTGTTGTAAAACTCATCATCACCCCAAAATACGCAGTCGAATCTCCGTTGTCTCTCAAAGTAATATTGCGCAATCATAGAACTGAATGTTTGGCAATTAGTGAAGCAGTTCTTAATCCATTACAACACCCCACTTCAGGCACCCAAATGTTGTGGCCATCAGTCAACATACCGCGGAGTTTACTTTCCACTCCTGAATGTTTGTCTTTGCTCATTTATCATGTGCCATATATGGGCCATCTGGTCTAACATCAGCTTCTTGGGAGATTAAATGAGACTAAGAGCTGGAATTAAATGATGGTTTACATTCAGCGGCCGAAAGCATGCTCAAAAATTGATTACTCACAAATGTAATTTTTGACACCAGGTGAATTTACATAGACCGACCTTCCGGAACTCGTTTGTTTACACAGGATTACTATGATTTCACGAAGTGATTTGTAGGTTAGATGCTACTAATAGCAAAAAATGAGACTGAAGTGTCAGTGTAGAAAACTGTGTAATGAGTTTTACCTGAGTGAATCCAAACATTTCTCTGGAAATAAAGGGTCCGCTATGCAGTTCTTGCCGATCGTCATCCATGCGTTTCCGGCAATCTTCGATCGATTCATTCATATGATTGTTCCCAGGTAGTGTTTTCAACAATGCTACTGCAATAACAACGCATGGTGTATTTGTTTCTTCGTCTTTCATGGTTTGTATGCAAATATATATAAACATATCTACTAAGGAGTGGTTGAGGATTTCGTCTATTTGTATGATGAAATGAAACGGTAATTGGAAGGCAGGGAAGCACTCACTAAACAACTGGTTCAAAATGCTGTGTTTCATCAGTAGTATGAATCCTTTGACATAACTGAGAACATAACCCGGGACTTCACAAATAGAATGCAAGCATGATACTCACTTAACTGCCAGGCCGCTGATTAAACAACTTTTTAAATTGTCCTTATATATGATGTAGCTCAGTCCTTCATTTCGCGCTTGTTGCGGCCATTGCTAAACTCAGCACTAGCCTGCGGGGTTATGACTTGGTTGGGAACCGATCAACTCAACCAGTTCTGACATGAAGACAGTGCATAAGAAAAATGAGAAACGGTCTGGTCAGTAGCTCAGTGGTTGAATAGTTAGTAAGCTTTTGTTCTACCTGTGAGGTCCAGGAGTCGACCCGCAGTTGGGTTGATGGACTTGCACTAATGATGATACCCAACTATGTCAATTTTGTGTAAACATATGTCCGACTTTTGATCATAAGTTAGGCTTTATGTCATCAAAATGAAAAATTTGCAACCTGCATCGATCAAGCCGATCTCTTGTTCACTCAACGGTGGACGCGATCTCATCAAAAACACAATGTTTTCTTTTACCTAGCCCAAAACTAATCCTGGATTGCATCCGCTTCCCGCAGTCATTCACAACCTATTTGATGCTTGCTTGTTAACTTCCGACTTGCAACAAGGTTTCCAGCACAGGGTCAAAATATCATTACGAAAGACCTACGTTTGGTCATGTCTGATTTAAACGTTCATTTGTGCAATTAATTCCTTTCCAAACAGTCTGTCACAGGACTATAGTCAGTAAAGTTAAATGCAATACTTGAGAATAACCAGTCCTTTTCCATGTCGATAATCTAATTGTTTTGTTCTGTTTCATGTCAATTTATCTATTTATTTGTTTCTCGTTTTTCATCACCTCTTATAGACACAAATATCCATATTTTTTCCGAATTGTAATATAATCGAAATAGCTGAATGCTGAGAAAAATATATTGTGTGAACTAAATGAAATGCACACTTTGATTTCACCTGGTAGAAATGTCGAACACGTCATCAAAACTGATTGCTTTTTCTTGTCACCCATTGGTTGCGGATTAAAAACGAATAGATTTTCCAATTTGGTGACGTCACTGGTTATCATGAGTTCAGTGCGACGTTGAGCATCAAACCGTCTGATGTTCTCAAGGCTCTCAAATAGGTGGGTGGGGGATAGGCTTTTATGCAGACCTTTTTACCTCATGGCAAAAGCAGGATCTGATTGCGTCACCCGTTTGGTTCTGAAAGAATTGCAACTTTTTGCTAGGTTAAAACGCAAGTGGATGTTTGGTAACATCACATTCACAACACTGCTAGTTATTTTTCTTCCTCTTCTCTCTACTGCACTTCCATTACGTGAGCCACTGTCACCAGATAAGAGGAGCCAGAATAAACCGTACGACCAACTCTTTAGCTTCTCATTTACATACATAAAACTCTGATGTGATTCAACCTGAAATTTCGGACCCAAAAACACAGCACGGCTATTGACGGAGAAAGACTCCTTGGATGCATTGTTATATAACAACGCCAGAAGAATGAAAACACATGAGTGGATGAAATATTTCATCATAGACGAACCGGATTAGATGAAGTGATGACTGTAAATAACAAAGTTTTACAGGATATGAATGTGTCGCAGAACCTTATTCGGGGTAACTATTTATTTTTTTATTGCCACCCCAATTCTTTTGTTCAATACAACCGCGTTTTGCAAACTGCATACACACTCCTCAAACGGATTAGTTAGTTTTGATAGCGAATCCAATACAACTATGTCTGTTCAAACAGTGGCCCAGTGCTGGCGTTCTTCAAGCCGCTAACCGCTCACCACAGAAACGTCACTTGACTTTGCTTGTTATCGATACGGTCATCCCGTTCTAATAGCATGCGATCGATTCTGTGAATCTCAATTGCTGTTTAAGAGCCATAAACTGAAGACAAGTCGCTCTCGCAAAGTGACAGTCCGCAAATATCGGATTTCCAACTTGATGTCAGATTAATTTCTGGGTCACACTAAACTGTGAACCACTGCATACACACTTCTTTATCCGCTCTTTCATGTTATCTGTATTCCTTTTTAAAAACGCAGCAATGGAATTCACTCCTAAGGATCTAATTTGTCTCTGAAGTGGTATAATAAAATGAATCTTGTCATTGTAGGCATCTTATTCCAGCAAATCAATAACGACTGAATGGAACGAAAGGATGATATTGATATATTGAACATGCCCGTATTCTATAAAGTGCTAACTTAGACTGATAATACTTATAATTCGCGGATAAATGGTATTCAAGTAGGTATATAGTGTTATGCAAATTTCACCTGGAGGTCCTCGAAAATCATGCTGTTCAGTGAGTAACTGAGCTCGTTGAAAGCCAGGATCCAAACACTCATGTAAATGACCTTGGAATATGATTGGCTGGATCGTTACAAAAACATATCAGCAGGATTGGGGTGCGTGATATCATGCGTCCTTGAGCACGTCTACGTATGTGATTGGTTTCTTTACTGAGTTCCTGGAATGCATTTGTAAACACGCAGAATAGGTGTGCTTTTGAAACCACGTGGGTCCTTGAGACAAACTAAATAGACATATATATATGCCGTAAATCACAATGCAGCCAACGGACATTGAGAGCTGTTAATTCATAAATTTCCATTTTCGGATTTGTCAACACAATTCACTAACTCAGTATGGGACATGCAAATTCGAGATTACCATATCCTATGAACCGCACAATTCTGGATATGGTTGAAGAACAATTCGCGGAGAATCACATTCCCGTAAGTTGTCACCCGTTCACCAGTGGGCTTATTCAACTGATATTTCGCATGCAGATTCGCGAATTCGCCGAAATTGACTTTCGCAATTTACGACGAAAAATCCAACGTCGTGTATTACGCTATTTGAGATCCTCTTTCACACCGGAACAACTGGACGTGATGAACCATTCAAATGACGGCCTATCTCAAATCAGTTCCACTCAGTGGGAAACGCTGCACTCAATCATTCGCGACAGTGTTCACCAGTTCACGCAATCCCACACTCGACTCAGAGCCACTGTCAACTTCAGACCAAGAGTAAGTGATTTGAACATTTGAGGAAATTCATTGGCTCATTGTTTTTTCCTTCTTCTCTAGGATAACCTTCGTTTTGCACGTCCGAACGGTGGAGGCCTACAACCGATGCTTAAACGTAAGTTTCTGAATCGGATGTAGACGATAGAATTTCTTGTTTTACAGCAAACATTTTGAATCATTTTAGCAAGCATTTCAGACATTTTCGAATTCACCAATTTCCTAAACACTTAGCCTAACTATCACACACAACCTCATAAGTGTATTACATAATAGATCAAGCCAACAAAATGTGTACCAATTAGGGTGTGTAAACAGACTTAATCAACGTCGCTTGCGTAACCAGTTACAAAACCCGACTTTTACTTCATGAATTTTACATGGGGTAGCTGGCTGAAGATGACTGTAAACTGGAAAAGCTAGAACTTAAGTCAACATATACCTGTTATTTGAAAGCTGGAGAATCCTCGCCATAGTTTACTGGACCCGGTGGACAATTAATCTATTCGGAGAAAAATTTACCTTAGTTTGCATGTTCCAAGACGTTGCAGTTTGGGCATATGAATGCGTGGTGATGAATGACTGTGGGAGTGAAGGACTGCAGCTGTTGAACAATGCAAATTTGGGGGACAGGCGGGAAATGTTTTGACCGGCTGAACAAGGCGAACGTTTCCAAATTCATCCAGCAAACTGCCAGCTCTATTACAGTATCGAAACAAAACAACTATCCAAGCGATATGACCACCTAGCTGAATCTTCCGTTGAGTACCTTAGTCTACAAATCTATTTGTTTTTCTTCTATTTTCCAGGAAAGCCGCCGCTGAGTGCTATTTCCTGTCTAAGTTTGGTTGGTGCGGAACAGGTTGAAAGATTGCCCGACTGCCCAATCTGTTTGAACGAGTTTGAAGTTAATGACAAAATTCTCACTTTGATGTGCTTTCACATCTTCCATCAGGAATGTTTCACTATGTGGTTTGAACATGTGAGNNAAACTTCGTTTTTTCACATTTCCTTTGCAACAATCATGCTTTTGATGAGGCTGAGCACTATAGCGGGTTAAGCGATTAATTTATTTACCACGGTTGCAGCACGACATGATCTAGATATATTATCAAAACGCGTTATCTTCATGCATGCAAGAATGCCGTTGCCTATGCTCCCATACATGTTTGCGACAATTTACGCAGATTGGTTACACACGCGTAGAACCCTCACCCAACCTTTTCCCGATTGCAAAGAGGCTTGACGTCTATAAAGCTCCCGAATGAGTGGATCGTTGATATTTATGCACGAGAAAGTCGCCAGTTGAGTAATTTATCCAACGGTAATACATCAAGTGACAAAACAACAATATAGGTTCGTTTTGACTACCATGAAAAGACAATTCGTGATTAGAATATCACAGAAGCTTATGTGGAAAATTATCTTAAAGAAGAGACTTCATTCTAGTTCGAAAATTTAGTTTAACTGGATTACAGAGATGTTCGAGACCCAACCTCTGCGTATGCCACTGAGTTAGATCGCACTTGTACTGTATCAGGCCCAAAGTTGCACCCAGGTTGTCTACTGTTGCGCTTTATTGCAGCCCGGCATTGCAACGGTAGTGCGTATATATTTTGCTCAAGGTGATCCAGAACAGAACTCAACTGTAACTCAAAAGTATCATGGTGTTATTGTGACGAAATAGAAAAAGCCTATTACTCCCAATGGCAGTCAAAATGTTTTGATCAGACGCTCGAATCAATCTGTTTAGAGAACTCCGGAATTTTAAAGTCAACATTTAGCACTCGGTTATTGTTTTCTAAATTGACCAGGCCGCAAAGCGTCTGAGCAAGGTCAGCTCGGCACTAAGTAACTGATGGCACAACTCACTAAAGAGAGTGATGCACTTTTAATGCTACATTTGGACAGAAATAAGGTGATGAAAAGTTTTGTCAACCCTGTGTTCCACACAAGAGCTAGGAGATTATGCGATGCTAGTCTCAGATTCAACCGTCCACTACATATCCCCTTTCAACTTCTACTTTAAAACCTGAATTAAAACCACGTATGATGTTCGGATTCGTTCCCTACACATAAACAAATGAAATTGTTTTTTTCCTTGCTTGCCAAACAATGAATTTATCTCTTGGTCTCCTTTTCTTCTGTCTTATCTAGGGTCGTGTCTGTCCCATTTGTCGAATCGATATTACCAATCCGGGCAAACGGGTAAAACCTATTCTGAAATCCGACACACGCAGAAAACAACATAACAATGTCTCTGTGTCACGGTGATTCTCCGCCCCCCACTCCCCAATCTTCCATCGCTTTCTTGTATCTGTTCCTCACTCCTCTTTCCACCAATCATTGTACATATCATCTATTGAACGCTTTATGTAATTATCCAAGAAGGCCAATTGAGATCACATCTATGATCTCTTCTGTGGATCGTGATTTCTCTCTCGTTCTCTCTGTGCCTCAAAAAGGACCAAACCACGTACACATCAGGACCTCCAACCCTGTTGTACATGCTTTTGTGCATTTTGTTTTCGTTTCATTTTGTTTTCTACCCCCATTCCTTTCGCACATTTCACTCCCGTGTACAATCAAATTGTACATTTTTCTGTAAATAGTTCAATAATTAGGTTTTATCGATCCAAAAAAGCTGTCCTTCTTGCATATATCAAACAGGACGGAACTCTCAGGACTGGTGGTGTGATACCGTTCTACTACATGGTCTCATTTGCGTACGACCTGGATAGATTTTGAACGAGTTGTTCCCGGAATCATCGCATGGTTTTATTCTATGACGAAATTGAGTGCTGATGATAACAGCTTAATTAGCCTATAGCGAAGCAGCCCAATAACTAGATATGAGTTATGGTTTATCCCAATTGTGGAAAAACCACATTCATCTGTTACATTGCGAAATTGCTGGGAGATTTCATTCCAGTTTAAGCGTGACCTTGCTATGTGTGTGTTTCATGCGAGTGTGTTTCCTAATGTCCCTAGATGCTCGTGATTAGAGTATTGAGCGGTTTTCAAGGTTTTCACTTACGAGATCCTGAGCTGGCCGGAGTGCGATCTGAACCTGAATTTTATACCACAAGGTTTTTCCGGTCCTGGTGGTTTAAAGGGGGTGAAGCGTGTCAATGGAAGCGACTGAGCTTGATCCATGCATACCTTTAAGCAAACGCCAACTTTCAAGGATTAGTGGGGTCTTTGAATGTCTACTCGCGGGAGGGTATTAAGTCGAAGAAAGATCGCTTCTAGGCTGTAGCATGGGTGATTAACCATGGGTACAGATGACATGTTCGGAAAGGATTCGTGGGGAGTCCATCTGCGGACAACTGTACCTCACATTGTTTTGAATTGAGATTATCAAAAGGGAAATTCAGATAAAGACTGATGATTGACTGTCCACGGCGAAGGAATTTGTTACCAGTTTACAAAACCGCAAAAATAGAGGTCAGCTGTTATGAAGAAAGAGGAAGACACGGTAATAAACAAAATGTGAAGTTCTATCTCATCTGCCGTTTTATCCTTTACATGCGAGAAGATAGTCGTAAGTGCGTTCATCATGCAACAATAAATGCAATGGGTCGAACTTCAGTTTTTGTCAATAGTTACTTTTGAATGTTTAACAGAATATGATAAAGGTGTTTGTGCTGTGTTGACGATGAAACGGTCACAGCGTTAAGTGGATTAGAAGGAGGGGGGCAGTAGATGCTTTGAAGGTCAATCCTGGTAGAATAAACATAACATAGATTGCCAGAGAAATTTTGAAAGTTCAAAACGAAATGGATAAACTGGTAAAGGGTAATCTGGTAAAGTTAGTACTGATAGTCTGCCCTTATTCCGAGTACCGTTGGCAAATTCAGAACATTGTCCTTAAATATTCGCAGGTTTAGGCAATATGCTTTCAAATAACCTCTCAAGAAGACTGAGCTAACGGTTTCCAGGTGCAATAAATGTTCTATTTTTTACACAAAAATAAGCATTTAACTTTCTCAAAGTATTCGCCACTAATTTTCATGCCCAGTTACATGTGCTGAAATCATTTAGTGAAACCGTTTGATCATGTCGAAGCGAGTAACCCTTCGGCCAGTCAAAAGAAGGCCTGCACTTCAGCTGTTGGTGACTTGTATCGGATTCCACGCATTATGCGCTTGATATTTGGAAAACAAAACGTAACAAGGATCCAGGTCTGAGGTGTAGGGTGGGTGACCAAACTCCTGAATGCGTTTTGTAATCAGAAAGTCGATTTCAACATGGGACCTGTGTGAAGGTAAGTGGTCATAGTTCAGCAGGATCCCTCGTGCTTGAGTCCTCTGACGACGCCTGGCAACAGATTCCTGTACTTTCGGTAGACGCACCAGTCTCCAGTGTTCAAGCTTTTCTGTACGAGTGATACAGTAGCCACATGACCGAGTTTGACCATGATCACAGCCACCATCTGTTTGCCACACCGTGTTCGCCTCGGAACTTCTGAGGCGGCGCCGCACCAACCGGTGTCCACTGAGTCCATTTTTCTTTGGTCTCTGAGTCGAAACNCCACTGATGATCTCTCAAACTGTATTGGAACATCCACCATCGTACCTGATAAGCATGGTGCAGCACCAATTCGCCCTAACTATTTTATGTTCCGTACTGAGCTCATGGGGTACCCAGCGTGCAAAAATCTTTCTTAGGTCGAGCTTCTCATGCACGACGGTGCGGATTGATCCCCGTGATTTCCTGTTGGCTTTCACCGGCTTTGCCACTGTCACCCGACCAACCCCCTCCACCACAGTTTGCACAGCAATGCTTCTTGAAGACGCGTCATTGCCAAATGCAGCTCACAAACGATAAACAGTCTGCTGCTGCTTTAAACCACATTTGTTTTCGTAGAAAATCATTGCTTTTCAGTAACATCGACTGAGTTGTATCCTTAAAGTTCGAGTGTAGTGACCTTTGTGACTTGTAAGCTGGACTCAGCTGCAAAAATTTGGTTCTGTGAGTTGCAATCACTGAGCAATATTCACAATAGATTACATTTCAAGTTTTCCTTTCCCGGTCATGTGCATCTCGTACGTGTACTGCGTATTTTATGTCTTCGTTGCTTATCATTGTATCATACCCGTTTGTTTCTTTATCTCCTTTCCTATCATCCCCTGTTTACT